TTTTTTTATAAAATCCATCTCATTTTCAACCCCCTCCATTGCACTTGTTAATGCAGCCGTGGTGCAGTTATTAGCTACCTTTGAGGTTAGAAGTAAAGCTAACCATTGCTTCTCTTAACAAAAAGAGGTTGAGGAGGCAATTTCAAGGTACTTTGAATTAGTAATAAGTTTCACTCACAATATTTAAAATTTATATATACATCCTTTTCTAGTTTAATTCACTTTTATACAGATTAATCTACGTTTTACACATCCGTTACTCGAGAATTACTTTTATTGTATGACAGTGTAAAAATAAAATAAATATCTTTAGAGTGAAGGGCATAAAGCTGCAATTATAGTACATAAGAAACTGAAATGTTGAATAATTTTAATATGTAAGAAACTGAAATATTTTCTTGTTTTAAAACGTATTTTTTCCATGAAACCTTCTAATTAGTCAGGTGGTTAATAAATAATTTGTTTGAAAATGCTGCATAAAATTTAAGAACCAACATTTCAAAATTGAGGAATATCTGGAGATGAGTGGCCAACATTACACTTTAAAATAAGTTAATAATAGTAATTAACACCTAATGCTAGGAGTTTTGATTGATTTTTAAGGCTTTTAAAATCATAAATTATTAAATTCAAATAAGATAAAAAACTCCTGCTGTATGTAGTAAAAAACATTAACTTGGTTTAGTTTAAATATAATTTATCAAGCAGAAAGCAGTGCATTCAATATCAAACAACAGAAATAATATTCTTACCATTAACTTTCGGGGTTTCGCAAGGGTTGATCGTAGACAGTTTTTTTATTTTATTTAAATTTCCAGGAAATGAAACGCTTTAATTTTTTTTTGTCATTAATAATTTTTATTCTCATAAAAAAAATGGCTTAAGTCCTGGGTTTACAGTAAAATCTTATTTGCGAAAATTGGCATTGACTTTTCATCTACCATTTTTATAAAAATATCTATATCATTTCAATATTATAAAACAATAACATATCACTTCGTTAGAATTATCTTGTTTTATCTCCTTATTTTTAAGTTTTGAGATGAAACGGTTTAAAAAAGAAAAGCTTTAGGAGACGGAAAATTAAATTTTTTTTACAACATGTTTTCTTCGCAACTTTTTTACTTAAAACTTGGGTTTCAATACAGTAGAAAAACATTATTCTGAGGTACACAGCATTATCAATAACTTAATTTTTTCAAAAAGTAGAGAGCAAGATAATTCTTACGTCACGATATGTTTAACATAGATAACTTCAATTTTTATAAAGAGCTTTTTTTAGAATTAGATGGAGCTCAATCGTAACTCTTCAAAACTTTTATTTTTTTATTACGCTTTTGATATTTGTATTATAAAAATCAATTCAGAAATAACTGTCAAAAATATTTATACATTCTCTAAATATTGGACTTCAAAGATTGAAATAATGACTCAAGAATACTTACCCAGTTGTGTCAAATACATTTCCGAACCTGAGTCTAGAACAGCAGAACCATTTTTGCATAGTTATTTATTTTTATTATTTTATTTTGTATATATATATGTCGTTTTTTTTATTATATTGAAATACCCCACATTCTTTATAAATATAGTAGATAAAAGATCAATACCCATTTTTAGTAATAAAGTTTTACTGGAAACCCCTGGCTTACAGTATTACAAGGTGACATAACTTGCTCCAATTGTCTAGAACTCCGTTTTTGAGCTAGATTTTGATACTTATTTACTCATTGCTAAAACTTTTTTTTACAAGAAAACATTGTTGATTTTTCTCCTAGTATTTTTAGTTATTATGCCACATCTATTTTTTGTTGATTTTCTTTTACTTTGAGTTTATACTAATTTAAAGAATATTAAAGTATAGCCGAACCAATATATAATTGTATTGAACATAATATATAATAATCACTTTTTAAGGGTTTAGTGATAAGATCAGTATGATCTGTTTGAAGATCATACTGATCTTTCCTACCTTTACTATTTTGATTATAATTTTCATTATATATTTTGGTTCACGAAACTTGTAAACAAAATACTTGCGGCAAAATATGGAAAAATAAAAGGTTTTACCTTTTCATTTCTTATGAATATATTTGTATTCTTAGGTACTTAGCTAAATCAAGATTTACAATTTAAAAAAATGAAATTGATAATCATGGCTTTGATTTAAAACGCAGACCAAAAACAACATAAAAATCATTTTTTGCTTATTTTTAAGCATGGTATTTATACAAAGGAAAATAATTTTATTTACAATTCTACTAAGTTTGGTATCAACTAGTCAATAAACAATAATCAGTTGAAATTTTCATTTTAATTTTTTTTTTTTTTTACAAGTTAAAAAAAAAACGATCGATACCCATAGGTCAAACTTTGGAAAATAGATTCAAGTATGAATAACAACAATATATTAAAAATTAAAACTTTGAAGGAGGTTACTGTATAGACCCGTGTCCTAACATTTTTTTCCAGAGCCTTGTTATTAAGTTAGTAATAAAGGAGATTTTTTTAAAATCCAAGAGTTGTCACTAATTTTACCCAATCCTGCTTTATAAACCGTGTCATTGGTCCATCTAACTCTATTTTCTATATACTTTATTTTGAAAAGTATACAACATACAGGTTTAAATTAATCAATGGCGACGATAAACAAAATATCTTTTAATGTAAAAATTTGTTTAAAAATTTTTTAGCTGTTTATTGTCAACTTTCCCAAATACCAAAAACTAAATTTTAGTTTGACGTAAAAAAGCTACAAATTAAAAGTAATAAAATGACAATAAATAGCGTGCTTTAAGATAAATACCAATTTATTCAAGTTATGCACCTTCATAAATTGAATGAAATCATTTTTATTATAATTAATTTTTATTTTTTTACATCAAATTGTGCCTATTTTCTTAGTTGAGAAACTGATGAACAAAAAAAATAAAAATCTTAGTAGTTTATTATTTACTTGACTGAAAATAAATTGAGAATTAATTGTTTTGAAATTGTAACAATAACTACACTTGTTATAAGACAAAAGTTCAATTAGTAGTTGTACCCTGTTTACAAGTTTTTGTAAAACCATCCTCCAACATTTTATTTTTTAACTACACACAATAATATCATTTTGAAAAACTTTGGTTTTGTATCCTTTAGCTTACAGTGTAAGTGTCTTTACCTCAAAATAATGTGTTATTGTACATATAATGTGTTATGTACAAATAATGTGTTATTGTACATTGGTGTTATATGTAATAAACATTTGCAAATTATTGAACATCAGTAATATATGATGGCAATTATATATTATGAAAAAGTTTACAAAATTAGCATACAGATAACAATATTTTCTTTACTTGAATTGATTTCCTGAATTCCTGAATTTTTTATACATCATTTTTTATAAACTTATAATTACATGTTAGATATGAGGAGTTTAACTATAAAGTAAAACTATTTGGATTGATTTTTTTTTGTTGTTTTCCAAATATATCAAGTTTATGATATCAAGCTATTGGTTTGAATTTCCAAATATTTATTAAAACAAATTTTTTTTTATAATAAGCTGAGCACTCAAGACAAACGAGAAATTCCCAGCTCTTGCCCTGTCCTGCACAATAATTGACAACGGCTGCTCCTTCCGACGAGCACTATCTTCTAAATTATGCCCTTCTTGTTTGAATTTTTTGAAGTTTTAAAATGGTTCCAGTTAAAAATAAAAATACACTAATGGTGTTTTGAAATCAAGTATCACATTTTTGAGCTTTTACCCAGCTTTGCTGTTTAATTACGTAAATTGTAAACAAGTAGCTAAGCCGACTTAGCTATTTGACAATATTTGTTACCAAAATATATATTGGTACCAAAATAAAATCGTTCCTACTACACTTAACAAACTACTCGGTGATAAATTAAAAATATTATAGCGTCTGTATTATATTTTGTTGTCTGCGACATATTTTCGTTTAAAGATCAGGTCTGTGAATTATAAAAAGACAAATAAAATTAAAATGATAGATTTTGCGGTATCATAAAAAATAAATGTTAATAGCGAAAAAACCCAGACCGAAGATTCTTTTTTTTTTTTCTTTCTTTTAAATCTTCTTAAAATTACAATGGCTTCTCCAAATTTTAATAAGTTTTTAAATAAATACGTTTTTTAGGTGAAATGAATATTATAGTTTAACAATATGATCTATTCTGATCGGTTATTGGCAATTTTTTCGGAATTCTAGTATTTTTTGTAAAAATTTGATAGAAATATTGTGTTTTGACAACTTTATATGTTTAATAAACGTCAGAACCGATTAATCGGTTCTGACGTTTATTAAACATATATAACACCATTTTGGAGTCTTCATATCAATTCCGCTCATCGGGGTTAACATGAATTTAGCTAAAATCTTTTAAAAAAGTTCCTTAATTTACTATAGATCCTCGTTCTAATCGATTAGAACGAGGATCTATAGTAAATTAAGGAACTTTTTTAAAAGATTTTAGCTAAATTCATGTTAACCCCGATGAGCGGAATTGATATGAAGACTCCAAAATGGTGTTCTTTAGATTCACTATTACGGTAGTAAAAAGGTTTCGAAACTTATATTTAAAAAAAGTTTCTTTAAATATTGAAAAAAACCTAAAGCAAAAAAAATATATACCATCTCAAGCTCTTGTTTTGACATAATACGCTTATAAAACCAAATAAATAAATTCGAATTATTTGTAAGTCGCCATACCAACTATACTTAGTATCAACTTTAAAATCGGAACGATTTCTTGGAAAAAAGCCGTAGGAACGATTTCTTCAGGAACTATTTCCTAGAAACAGGAACGATTTCTCATAAGATAAGAACGATTTCTTACGAGCACATGTCTTAATTACAAAATCTACTTTTTAATCATAGCAAACCGCAATCATCTGAGTTAAAATATATAGATTAGTTCATAGTATAGTTTATTATACTCAAATTAAGCATAGTTTTATTTATTTAATGAAGAAAATGGACCTTCAAAAGTTGCTTATTTTGATTATAAAGGTTATGTTAAAAAAGTGATTAGAATTGGTGCCCCACCCCCAACCTATCAATCTATACTTATAGATTTACTCCCAGCATGTGTAGATATACTTATTGCATGTTTGTATATACTTTGTGATTTAATGAATCATAAAGCATGTGTAGATATACTCATTGCACATTTATATATACTTTGTGGTTTAATAACTTTTATAATTTTTAAAGGATACGGAGTATTTACAAAAAAAGAATTCAAAGCTGGCGATGCTTTACTTGAATATAAAGGTGAAACTATTTCAAGAAATGAAGCTAAACTACGCAGCCAAAAATATGCTATGCAAAATAAAGGATGTTTTATTTTTGATCTTTATTTGAATAATAAAAAAATTAGGTATGAGATTTTGTTAACCTTTAACAGTTTCTTCTGAAATATTAAACATATGGAAAGTGGTTTCCAAATTCCCTTCTTTAATATTAAGCAAAAAAGACATTAAAATGAAATTTAATTTAAATTTTCTAAAAAGGATCTAGTCCTTCTAATTTGTAAAAATTTGAAACCAGTGTAATTAGGATCTGAGTTGAATATTACATAATATTATAAATGTTTATATTGTGATGTAAATCTTCGTGGAGTTCCTTGCATCTTGCATTATCAAACATTTAATAATTAAATAAGTAATATATAAATTAATTATATTTTGTTTTTAAGATTTTTGTAGTTAAAAGGGCAATCTACAAAGACCTTATCACTGAGCACTGTTGAAGTGCATTAAATCAGGAAGTTCCTTTTTCCTAACCAGTTTTGCTTATATATTAAATTAAAACTAAATAAAAGATGATCTATTATTTTAATATATTTATCACTTTATATTGTTTAATATTTATTTAACAAGTTCATTTATCTCTATTTAGCATTGATGCTACTGACTCACAATGTTTGGGACGTTACATTAATGATGCTCCTGAAAAATTTTCGAATTGTTTGCCAAAGACATGCATCATAGATGGAAAAGAATGTCTCATGTTATTTGCTAAAAAGTATATTCCGAAAGATACAGAGCTACGTTATAATTATGGAGATGGCTCTAATCAATGTTGGTGAAAAAATGTAAATTATTTATTTTTACATTATAAATTTAAATTTATTTAGTATTTATATTGCAGGTACATATTTAACACAGTTCATTAGGCTTTAGGTAAAAATTTAACAACAAAAAACACTTACAAATTATAAAAATTATCAGGTTTACTACAAAAATATTGAAAATGTTTAATAAAACAATGGTTTTTTAAATATTAAACAAATGTTTATTCTTTTCTAAATATATAAAATGTTTAACTTTAAAAAAAAAATTATAGTACTTTTTTTAATTGAATAACTTTATTCGTTAGCAAATAAAATCGCAATTAGTTTCCTCACTTCCCCATAAAACATGTTTAATGGTTATGGTCACAACAGTAAAATATATTATTCTTTTTTGTTTTTTTTTAAAGAAAAAATATTTGCAACCTTTCACGATTGATGATGTTAAAGCATATTTACACGGAAAGGTTTGTTTCATTAAATTAAATGGTTTACATTATAGTTGTATATTTAAAATTATCAGGTTGTATTACAATATTTGATATTACAGTAATCTCCTGATATCTCAAACCATTAATAACTCAAACTTCTTGTAGCTTGAATTGTTATCACATTCCTTTTGAACTCTCACTAACACTTTTCTATTAAAACCACTTTATAACTTGAACCCCTCATAACTCAAAAATTTGCCCAGTGCAATTTTATATGCTCCAAGTGCAATTTTATATTGTAGTCCAAGTGTAATTTTGTATTCAAACTTTAGAACATAAATAAAAAATCTTAATGAAAGTGAATATTTTTTGTTCATTTAATTGAATTTGATTAATTTTCTCAATATTATTTGAAAAAAGCTTTACTTCCGAATTAATAATTAGGACATTTTAATTTGTTAGGCATTTTAATTACCCTTCAGATCAAATTATTTTTTTATAAATTTTATAATCCAATTTATTTTTATTTATCTGTAAAATTTTGACTTAAAGAATGTCCCGATAACTCAAAGCAATTTTATTGTCCCTTGGTTTGAGTTATCAGCAGTTTACTGTACTTAATATTATAATGAAAATTGGATAAGATTTTTATAAAACCTATATAATATAGCTTTTTTGTTAAAAAAAGGATTTGCAAAGAAAAGTTTTTATCACTCCATCAATGGATATAAATTGTATTAGTATATTTATATTACCAGCATATTTTAAAAGTTTTTTAGTATAACTTTAAAATTGCTGAAGTATTTAGTATAAATTTGATTATGGATTTTTCAGGTATTTGCTTCACAAGTGTGTGAATTTAAAAACGTTTTTGATTTTTTTGATTTTTTATTTGTTTTTATTTTTTATTTTTATTATATATATATATATATATATATATATATATATATATATATATATATATATATATATATATATATATATATATATATATATATATATATATATATATATATATATATATATATATATATATATATAAATTACTCTTTGTGGTTGTTCAAATGTTAAAAAAGTGTTTTTGATGTTTTATCAAATTTTTTTATTTTAATAATAATTTAAAATAGTTTTGGTTAGAGACAATATACCCAGCATCAACAAATTTTTATAGCTAAATTTTATGAATCACCCTTTTTTATATTAGTTCCACTATATAAAATGTTTTACCAGTCATTTTTTACTTGTTGTAAAATCTAAAATGATCCATTTTATTATTGTGTTTGAATTGCATTTTTCAAAAGTGGTAAAAAATAATAAAACACAAAAATTGGTGTTAAATTTTCATGTCTGAACATATTCGGAAAATAGAATTCACATAATTTATGCTAGTTTGATGAGTAAAATTGACATGTTTAAATTGTCCTGCACCATCAAAAGACAAAACTAATAAGAGAAAAAATTATTGTTTTAAATGTTTTAATAGATAAAAACATATTATGAGCACTCCTGGATCCAAAAAATAAAAAGCTTGAACCACCTTACTGTACATTGTTAATGAAATAATAAAACAGGAAGAAAAAGTAATTAAAACTCATTTTTTACCTCTATTGAGTGATTGATTTCCAAATAACATAAGGATCATATTTATACTAAATGCAGCTCTATGCCACACTGCAAATGTCTTTTAAAAGCTATTGACTTCTTGAACAATCAGCAACAACCCCAGAATTATATAGGACTATTATATAGGCTATTTTAAAATTAAATTGCATTTATATGTGCAGAAATATCTTAGCGTAA